CTTCTGATCAGGATCCTGGATCCTCTGCGCCAGGCACCCCTGTAGCGCCCAGCAGAACTGGACGTACACGCCTACAAAAGGGGGTTATTCAACCAGTTAATTATAAGAATGTTCTTAAATATGGTTTGACATGTTCGGCAGGTGAACCCAATAATCTTGACGATGCACTCAGTGATACACGTTGGAGGAAAGCTATGGAATAAGAATTTTTGGCACTTCAGGAAAATAAAACGTGGCACTTAGTTCCTCGGGCTAAAGGTAAAAATTTGATTGATTGCAAATGGGTATTTAGAATCAAAAGAAAGTCTGATGGAACTATAGATCGATATAAAGCAAGGCTTGTTGCTAAAGGTTTCAAACAAAGGTACGACATAGACTATGAGGATACGTTTAGTCCAGTTCTGAAAGCTGCTACCATCCGTCTCGTTTTGTCCATTGCTGTGTCAAAAGGATGGTGCCTAAGACAGCTAGATATGCAGAACGCGTTCCTTCATGGTGTTCTAGAAGAGGAAATCTACATGAAACAACCTCCTGGGTTTGAAAACAAAGATGCACCCTTTCATGTTTGCAAGCTTGATAAAGCACTATATGGACTGAAGCAAGCTCCAAGGGCATGGTATTCTCGTCTAAGTCAGAAATTGCAAGGACTTGGTTTTGTTCCTTCTAAGTCTGACACTTCACTGTTTATTTATAACAAGTCAAATACATGCATATTTGTACTTATATATGTTGATGACATCATTGTTACTAGTTCATCCAATGAAGCAGTGACAGCATTACTGAAGGACTTAGGGAAGGAATTTGCTTTGAAGGATCTTGGAGACTTGCATTTCTTTCTTGGTATTGAAGTAAAAAGAGATCATGATGGTCTCCACCTCTCACAAGAAAAATATGCAACTGATCTTCTCAGAAAGGTTAACATGCAGAATTGTAAGTCAGCACCAACACCTTTGTCCAGTACAGAAAAATTGTCTCTTACAGATGGAGAACTCTTGAATCAAGAGGATGGAAGCATAGTAGGTGCACTTTAGTACTTGACCCTTACTAGACCTGACATCTCATTTGTTGTAAACAAGGTATGCCAGTTTCTTCATGCACCCACTACCACTCATTGGACAGCTGCAAAACGCATATTGAGATACATTAAAGGTGCTCCAGATACTGGGTTGACATTCAGGAAATCATCATCCACTCTTGTTAGTGCCTTTTCTGATTCTGACTGGGCAGGGTGTGTAGATGACAGAAGGTCTACTGGTGGTTTTGCAATATTTTATGGTTCAAATTTGATCTCTTGGTATGCAAAAAAACAAGCTACAGTTTCCAGGTCAAGTACAGAAGCAGAATATAAGGCCCTAGCAAATGCTACAGCGGAGATTATTTGGGTGCAGTCTATGCTTAAGGAACTTGGAGTACGTAATGAACATGCTCCAATTTTATGGTGTGATAATCTTGGTGCGACGTACCTTTCTGCCAATCCAGTCTTCCATGCAAGAACTAAACACATTGAGATAGACTTTCATTTTGTTAGAGAACGAGTTGCAAATAAACAACTTGAAATCAGATTTGTCCATTCTAAAGATCAGATTGCGGATGGATTTACAAAGGCGTTGCCCACACGAAGCTTTGAAGCATTCAAGCATAATCTCAACCTATCACGGCTGTGATTAAGGGAGGGTGTTAACAATCATTGGGATATGGTAGAGGCGCATCTGGAGAGTCCTGCAAGTTAGAGAGATAGAATAGGAAGTCTGTTATTCAAACCTTATTGTATTTCTTTCTATCTCTTCTTGCCTTGACTTGTACTCCAAACTATGTATGCATCCAGGGATATGCCCCTGCCATATAACACGCATGCGTCCCCTCGAACAAGGGTAAGACGCTTCGATCCATCTGACAAATTCATGGTCTCATTGTCAAGTCAGGAACTTCACTGCCTCACTGGACGTATATGCTGGGAGTGCTCTCATCGATGTCTATTCAAAGATTTCCCTTGTGGATGATGCCAAAGTCGTATTCAGCCTTATGCACAACAGGGACGTGGTTATTTGGAATGCTATGATTTTAGGCCTTGCACAGAATGAGCAAGGAAAGAGGTTGTAAGGCTCCTCAACAATCTTCGTATCTCTGGGTTGACACCTAATGTATTCACATTTGTTGCACTAGTAACTGTGGAGAGTACCCCGGCAAGCATGTTTCACGACCACCAGTTCCATGCGCAGATCATCAGAGCAGGTGCTGACAGTGACCCTTGATGTTCCAAATGCTTACAGAGACATGTATGCAAAGTGTGGTTTCATCAAAGAAGAACATCGGGAAATGATGTCATTTGTTCGAACTCCATGATTTCAACATACGCGCAGCGGAGTCATGCTCAAGTCTCTCTTCTTGTTTTCAGGACAAGAAGATGAACTAGAGTAGAACATGCAGGCCTCGTGGATGAAGGTTTACACCATTTTAACTCTATGAAAACAAAATGTGGCACTGAACGCTATGCTTCTGTGGTCAATCTTTTTGGTCGTTCAGGTAAGCTGCATGCTGCCAAGGAGTTTATTGAAAGGATGCCGACTGAACCAACTCCGGCTGTTTGGAGGAGCTTACTGAGTGCCTGTCATATGTTTGGTAATGTTGAAATCAGGAGGTATGCCACTGTAATGGCGCTCTGTTTTATGTCAAATATTTATGTCATCTGAGACGGAGGCCACTTGGGCACAGATTTTACGCAATAAGTATCTTTTTGCTAAAACCTTGGCTCAGGTGTCTGTGAGACCTTCAGACTCGCCCTTTTGGAAGGGTCTGATGAGAGTTAAACAAATATTTTTCAACAAGACTAAATTTATTGTTGGGAATGGTACCACGACGAGGTTTTGGGAGGATACGTGGCTTGGGGAGACCCCACTAGCACTTCAATATCCTTCTTTGTATAACATAGTCCAACGTAGAGGTGCCTATGTTGCTACTGTTTTACAGTCCGTTCCCCTCAATATCAACTTTAGGCGGACGCTTGTTGGTAATCGTTGGGAGGCCTGGCTCCATCTGGTTCGTCGTTTAATGGATGTCCGGTTGTCTGCTAACCCTGATCAGCTGCATTGGAAACTTACTAAGAACGGTGTGTTCTCGGTCAAATCAATGTATCAGGCTGTCATTAACTCTACTGTCATTCCTACCTCCTTACATGTTTGGAAAGTTAAGGTACCCTTATGTATTAAAGTGTTTATGTGGTTTGTGCATAAACAAGTCATTCTGACTAAGGATAACCTTGCAAAACGTAATTGGGTAGGTCCGTCTCAATGTAGCTTCTGTGATCATTCTGAAAACATCAAACACCTCTTTCTCGATTGTCCGTTGGCTAAGATTCTGTGGCGGTCGGTTCATATTGCTTTTAATATCAGTCAGCCCACCTCTATTAGTATGTTATTTGGAACATGGCTAGATGGGGTGGATTCTGCCATTGCAAGACACATTCGGGTTGGCGTTTGTGCACTTTTGTGGGCAATATGGAATTGCAGAAATGACTTAGTCTTTAAACGATCAACAAACATTCACTTTTTGCAGGTTATCTTCAGGGCCACGGCGTTCATCCGTATGTGGTCGCTACTCACTCCGACGGAGGCCAGGGAGCGTTTGGTTACTGCGTCTACCCGATGGGAGATGGTAGCTCGGGATATTTTCAACCGGTTTGGATGGCGGTCATGTAATAGGATAGACATGTAGTGATCCTATTGTTTTGCCAGCCGGTTGTGGCTTTGGGCTTTTCTTATTTACAGATTTTGTTATAGTTTGTACTATGACCTTTCGGTACTTTGCGACTGGTTTTTCCTTTTAATAATATGAGCCGTATGCATCTTTCTGATGCAGAGGCTGGGGCACGTCCCCTTTTCCAAAAAAAAGAAAAAGGAACATGGGCTGATTCACAGAAGTTGAGACAAGGGATGGATTATGCCGACATAGTGAAGGAACAAGGATATAGCTGGATTGAGGTGATGAAGGAGGTGCATACGATTCATTGCACGACGACGAGAGCAATGGTATGTTCAGTACAGGATGAGCCCTTTTGGTAATTATTGAGTCGCCTTTTGCTACAGTTCATTTTCAGTATTGTTTGCAAATTTACGACAGTGCACATGCTTCAGTTTCCAGCCACAGAATTAACAGTGCAATATGTTTTTTAGTCAACTCAATATAAGTAGCGAGATAATAACTATTACCGATAATATAAAATTTTAATTAGAAAGTAGAACAATTAGATAAATTGATGATTTCAGACCGTGTCAAGGAGATCGGACTTGTAAGCTTGACCCAACTGAGATTTGAGCTTCATGGCAGGGCATTTGCCTACCACCCCAGTGAGAATGGGCAACAAAGCTACCAGAAATCAAACTGCAACCGCCAATAACGGGAGCTGAGCAGCAGAGTATATTAGGACTTCTTTTATTTAATGGTTGAACACACAACCATTTGTCATCGCAAAACCTGGTTTATCCCATTTTCTCATTTGATTTCCTACACTAAGTAGGGAAGTGTTCTTTTGCTTTCATCAAGCCTGATAATGTTAGGAAATTTCCTGATTTGAACTGTGTTCTGGATAGATCTTAGGTAAGCTCCAGGAAATGTCATGACTTAAATCTTAATGTTGTTTTTCACTACATTGATCAGTTGTACTCAACACCCAAGTCGGTACGAGTTCATAGTATTAGTGACGGTAGACATATTGAGTTACTCTTCATAAATTATTTGGTGGTGCTTTATTTCACTGGTTGTCTGTGGCAATTATCAACTTTCAAATGCTAATAAGCCATGGCAATTGTCATTGGAGATGTCATGAATCATCTCTAGAGAAATTGAATCACTTCAACATATTTGAATGAAATACAAGAACTATCAGTTCAGTACAATATTCTTCTGATGATTTAACAAAACAATATGAGTAACCAACCAAAGTCCATTACAGATAAACTTAAGAATAATATCAGAAAGCAGAACTGTAAGACAAATTCATGAGGTCACACCATATCAAGGAGATCAGACCTAAAACTTTTACCCAACCGAAATCTGAGCTTCAAGATAGGCCAATTGCCCAGCAGCCAAGTAATAATGGGCAACAAAGCTACAAGAACACAAATAGCAATGGCGAGCCAGAGGAGGCGCGGAGCCAGCACCGTGTATAAACCAGTTGAAAAAGCTGTAGTTGTTGCCACGTATGCAAACCACATGAGCTTCCTAGTGAAGGATCTGTAATAAATCAAGAACTCATAATCCTCCCACCTTGCTATGATGCATATGAAGACGACGGCAAATGAGGAGCACATTGCTAAGGTGTCAGAGATCAAGAATGCTTGAAATGCAACCTTCCAAAACATAATGGGAAGTCCCTCATTTCTAGTTCCAGAACTGTTGTATCCTCCTGGCAGAGCAAAAGCTGCTGCCAAGGTGATAGTCGTCATGAGAATCGCCACTAGTGAAGTGTTGCGGGTGTATGTTTTAGTTAATGACTTTGCAGCCTTTCTTGATTCATCAGTAGCCAGTTGCTTGGCTTCCACGTGAAGATTATGAAGAGCAGGAGCCAGTTGTGGATAAGCTTTTGACATAAGCATCGCCACCTCATTCTTCACGAATTAAAAGGAACAAGGTACAAATAAATCTCACAGTATAATAATAAATCTGAGATGCTCTACTGTGTAAATAAATAGTCTTATTCATAGTAGTTTATTTAGTTCAAATATACGTGATGAAAAATATATAGTCATAACATTTAAAGTGATCATTGAATAATTACTTTAATATAATTTGATTTTTGGGGACCTTCCCCATAAACATATCGTGTATATGGAAAGGAGATATTCTATGAAAGAATACACGATAGGAATAACTCGTATATTGAAATAATATCCACAAGTTTATATCGAACAAAATAATGAAAACACCCTAGACTAAAACATTTCGATCAGCTATGCCTCTTTTGCCCCTAACCATCTTCCTCGTCTTTGGCTTCGACCCACCCTTTATACCCTGCTGAATCGAATGTTTAATCTAGGAGGAACCCATTTTCTTCTCCAACGCAAGTGACCCAGCTCCCAACAGTAGGCTTAACCCTCTACGCGGCGAACCCAAGATGCTCCACCCTCGCCTCCTTCGGCATTAGTGTTCTGCATCGCCGCCTAAGTGGAGCACGACTCAGAAAGAAATCGCAAGGAAAATAATCAACCGAGATATGGAAAAAATGAGTCGTCTGAGCTTTGGCAAAGCAGGTATTTAAAATATGTGCATATAAATAAATTTAATGGTGTTTTTTCTGAAGTGTCCCATATATGAATAAAGGCAATGGGATTCATTTTGTGCAATGGTTAGTAGATGCGAAAACTGATAGATCTGTGTGGGTGAAAATACTAAAATTAGTTCTTATTACTGTTAGTTTGCAGCCGACTATTATGCTGCATTGCCTACAAGTTACTATAGATGATTATTGTATTAGTAAAAGGGACGTGTTACAGCAGAGTTAAATAATTAATTTACCATACTTTTAACATCATGCATATGCATGGTCAATATTATTTGTAACATAGTAAGTACGTACCCAGTTTAAAGTCTTGGCATTTTGTTTGAAGCCCGACAGTTCCCAAGCTGCTGAATTACCCTTTTTGTTAAGCACCGTCACATCTATGTCCTCGTGAGACAGTAAAGTAACAACCATTCTTGGATTGCACTTCATGACTGCATAATGTAGAGCGGTTTGACCTTCGTTGTCTTGCACGTTAACAAGTTTGTGAAGTAGTACTGTCTCCATAACAAATTCAACGAACTCTGCATGATCATACCGTACAGCTACATGAAGCAATGTCTGACCATCTGCTTTGTTATAAGTACAAGCATCAGGACAGTGTTTCAGAAGCTCCCCAGCAGCAGCAACTTGACCTCGATATGCCGCAGCAGTGAGGAGAGGTTCACCGTTGCTGTTTATTTCATACCCTAGAGTTGAATCATGTTCCAGCATTACTTTTAGCATGTCAATCTTGCCAAAAACTACAGCATGCCTTAGTGGAGTACATATTTCGTCGCCAGATTCACTGGCCAATTCAGGTCGATTCTCCATAATCATCCTAGCAATTTCTGGAAACAAAAGACTGTTAGCAGCGTGAAATATAGCAAATTGCATGAAAATATAATTTGCACTCTATATATTATATAAAATCTCACCATCATCATTTTTTTTAACGGCAGCGTCTCCCCGTCCAAGTTTACATCCTTGAGGAGAGACTGCTTTAGTAGCATAACATCCCTGCAGAAACCCTCGTGGCCATGGATGGAAGATATGTGGAGGCAGGTGTTCCCCTGCAGAGTCCTTCCGAGAAGAATGCTTGGATCACGTGAAGCCATGTCCTGTATTGACATGGAAACACCAGATATGGCTAATTCAAGGAGCCGTTTGTTCATTCCTCCTGATGAACCAGTTGTTGGTGGTGTATTGGCTGCTGCCATCTGTCTCTTGGTTTGATTTACTGCGGGCAAGAAAGAAATGAAGTGATGCGATGTGAACAAGCAATAGCTACTTTTCATGAAGGGGTTACCTCTAAACCTGACCACCACCAATTCAAGAAAATTCCGCAAAAATAATCAAACTGGTAACCAAAGAAACAAGCTATAGCAAATTCAATCATAAAAACTCTGAAACAGTAACGCACCTCACACAGTAGCAGAGAGTATATACGTATTCAAAAGTTGAAGATAACATCGCACTAACTTGTGTGGAGATGGCAAGTACTTAAGGAAGATGGAAGTCAATGCACCACCTCGCTCAACGGATGGAGACCAAGTTAATTTATCATTTTTCATACTGAACAATTTGATTGGAAGGCGAAATGGTCTATGATTACCACTTGTCAGTTATGTTAGCAGTACCATCTTAATCATTCATCTTTATATGTCGCAAAGTTGTTTTTGTCAAACAAGAGTGGTTCACCAAGCTGCGAAAATACCAATTGTGGCTGTAGAATATGGAGTAGTAGGTTGGACGCAGTTATCTCAACTTCTCAAGTGGAGATGGCATGACTTCCTGGCATTTCAGAAACCAAAAGTGACACAGTGCTCCCAGCTAACTTGGATAATGGAAAGGATATTCCTGCACAAGTTTTTTCAGATTCGAGACCAATGTCACTGTAGCCAGAATTATTATCATGTGTGTGGAATTTTTTTTGACAAACAAAGAATTATTATAGGTCCAAATTAGCACAAAAAGGTGGGCACTATATTTCGTTTTTTTGTTTTAGGGTCGGTGGGCACTATATTTCAATCTCCCGGACTGGCTACTTTAACGAGCTGCATGACCATGGCCGACATTGAGGCATACCTCGCTCAAATGCTAAGGCTCACACAATAGGAAAGACTAATCACATTAGTGTCCAACTAATTAATCTTTCGTTGACCTGTCAATGTTTTAGAGCAGTTGGAAGTCGTTGTATTCAATCATTAATGGATGTAGACAAAAAGTGAGTTCGTCATATGCGTGTTTGACTCGTTCGACAACAAGGCAAATAAAATTTAGCGGGGTATTTTTGGGGTTTTGATAATACAGATTTGAAAATAAAAGTTGCAAATAAAGGAAAAAACAACTGGCAAAATCGATCTGAAAGTCTATGATAGGAAAATAGACCCGGTGGCCGTAGATTTCACTGGTGGCTTCTCTCGAGAAATAGCAAACGGTGGGTAGACAAATTATTGTTGGGCGATTGATAGAAAAGCGAATAGTTATGACGATATCCAAGACAATGATCATGTATATAGGAATCACGTCCAAGATTAATAGGTCGACTCCTGCCTACATCTACTACTATTACTCCACACATCGACTGCTATCCAACATGCATCTAGTGTATTAAGTTCATGGAGAAAGTAGTGATGCAATAAGAATGATGACATGATGTAGACAAGATCTATTCATGTAGGAATAGACCCCATCTTTTTATCCTTAGTAGCAACGATACATGCGTGCCTTGCTGCCCATTCTGTCACTGAGAAAGGACACCGCAAGATCGAACCCATCACAAAGCACCTCTTCCCATTGCAAGATAAATAGATTAAGTTGTCCAAACAAAACTCAAATATCGGAGAAGAAATACAAGGCTATAATAATCAAATAGGAATATTAAAACAAGGCAAATCTGGTTATAAACTCACAATTCATCGGATCCGAATAAACACACCGCACAAAGTCATTATATCAAATAGATCTTCAAGAGAACTTTGTATTGAGAAACAAAGAGAGAAGAAGACATCTAGCTACTGCCTACGGACCCGCAGGTCTAAGGTGAACTACTCACACATCATCCGAGAGGCACCAATGAGGATGATGAACCCCTCCGTGATCGTGTTCCCCTCCGGCGGAGTGCCAGGAACGGGCTCTATATTGGATCTCGTGGTTCTGGAACTTGCGGCGGCTGCAACAAAATTTTGTCGACTCCCCTAGGGTTTCTGAAATATTGGGGTATTTATAGAGCGAAGAGACGACGCGGGAGGCCACCGTGATGGGCATAGCCCACTAAGGTGTGGATATGATTTGTATGGGATGAACCTGTATGGCAGGTGAACAACCAGGTATCAGGGCCGGGCCCATAGTGGTGCCAAATGTGCGGCGCGCACGGGGCCCATAATTTTGAGGGGCCCCAATTTTTTAATATAGGCATAGTATTTCTAAAAAGATGTCAAGGCTCTGCCGCACTAGGCCGCTTGGCGCTGGAGTTGGGCCGAGTAGAGGCCGTCGAGTGCTCGTGTCTCGATCGCTCGATGGAAAAAGCTATCGCTTGGTGGAAAAGGGTTCGCTCGATGTTCCCAGAAAAACGAAACTGCTCCGTCTAAAAGCAAGGGATCGCTGCAGCAGTCAATCGGGATCTGAAATCGCAACAACAGTCCCGTCCACGTCGCAGCACGAAACGAGATCGTCTCGTCGGTCGTCGCCTTCGCCTCATCAGAGCGAACAGATTCGAGCCGATGTCATTGCCTTCTAGCTTTCTCTCCCAATTTTCGACGATCATTACTTCAGGCCGCTGCAGTTCTGTCGTCGTCGCTACAGAAAACGAGATCGCCTCATCAGGCCAATCCATGACCGAGTGACCGACTCCAGTCTTCAGGTGCTTAGCGAATCCTCCTTTCCGATTAACTTCGGTTCCTACTCCTAATTTCTAATTTCCTAATTAAAATTTTGTAAGAACCGTTACTTCGTTACAGATTAGTTCTTACCCCCTCGATTAAAGATCACTGTGTAGTAGTTCAATCGGACAAGACCCAAAACTAGGTGAGTTAGACGGTTCGTTTAATTGCAAAATATTGATGCATGATTTTGAATTGATATATGCTACTGTGTAACTTCAGTTTTATTTTATTCATATTTTTTTATCTTGTGTTTAATAATACAGATCTGAGAAAACATGGGGGGAAATCTGGCTGGTTCCTATAAGCGCAAGAGAAAAGAAACAAAACGAAATTTAATTAATACATCTTATGTTATACATTATAAAAAAATCTGTTAGATACATATACACTATAGTTGCTCGGCAGTTCATTTTTATAGCCAGGTAGGGCCCCATTTTTAGTTTCGCACAGGGCCTTAGAATTTGCCGGCCCGGCCCTGCCAGGTATGAAGGAAGGTATGGAGCGGATCTGGCCGAATAGGGAGCGACCCTTTTTCTGAACTGCACATAGCTTGCATCTTCTGCCATGCTTTGACTGTACACCTTTGGTTGGGATTCTGAGTTCCAAGACATGAAACTTGTTCATAAGGCTGGTTCCACATGTTCAATTATTTATAAGGTTGGTTGGGAAATTAAGATGTACTCCCTTCGTCCCAAAATAAGTGACTCAACTTTGTACTATCTTTAGTATAAAGTTAGTATAAAGTTGAGTCACTTATTTTGGGACATAGGGAGTAGTATTAATCCTTGCTACTGATTCTGTTTTTGGTACTGCCTCTGCTAATCTTGGCTTCATCTTATTGAAATCATGTTGCAAAGTTGGGCAGTTTGAAACCATGTTCGCAGTTTTCGCATGCGTCGGGTGCTTCGGCTTGCCGGTCCGAGTACCTAGGATCGCCATGCTCCATGCAGTGACAACACGAATGGAAGTTGCAGCAAATAGTTTTCCCGATGTAGTACTATTGAACGTGCTCCATTACTTTAGGTAATGGCTGGCTTGTGGAGGTGCTACGGGTGAGGCCGTGTTTGGAATGGTTGACTGGCGCAGGTGTGTATTTTTTTACAAGTGTATTCAGAAGAGAAACGATGATCCAAACAGGGCCTGAGGGGTGAGCTGCGCTCGGAGGATTGCTTTAGGTAATGGTGCGCGGGTCTGGGGAAGCAGACGGAGGCCGGCCAGCTCGTGCAGATTGCAGAAGTGGCCGCCGTTTGGAGTTGCATTTGTGTTTGGGGATTCAAGGACCCATCCCCACTGTAAGTCTGTAACTAGTTTGGGGCTTTGGTGTCATTTTCTTTCCATGTGACTTTCTTTTCGTGAGTTCCCAGTACACTTTGCACGCACTCGCACTATAGTTGTAGATATAATAGATGTAGACTTTGACTGTGTACAAGCCACTGATTGAGTGATTGTTGATACACGACAGTGAAAATCAGTGGCTAAATCTGTAAGAAAAGGGTCAACTCCATACAAATCATTGCCGACTTTCCCTAACGGCGAAAAATACAAATGAAAAATACAAGAGAAAAACTTGTAAAGTTCATAAGGCGAAGGTATTGATATGATTTGTACGGGCTGAACCTGTATGGCAGGTGAGGAACCAGGAGCGAGCGGATCTGGCCGAGTAGAGGAGCGAGCAGCTTTTATCTCTTTCCTCGCGTTGGTCGTCTCCTCTCGTGGAGCAGCTCCACCTCGCACCAACCTGCAGCTGCAGGAGATGGAAGATAAGTGGCAGAGGGTGTGGAATGCAGCGGATCTGGACTAGAAAGCTTGACGGCCGGGAAGGATAATAGTCTCATATGGAGGAATACATACAGTAGTTGTTAGAACTTCAAGATGGGTCATGGATTGTTAATTAACAGCACGATGGATCGCGTGGGTAACCGTGTTCATGTGTTTATTATTTATTTATTTTAA